TTTTTGGATCCTTTAGGCAGTCTGGAAGAGAACCTTCCCCAAGAAGATGTGTGGCACCCCAATCGCTTTGCAAAATCCCAAATCTGACGCGCAAAAGAGATTTGCAGTAGTGGACCGCTAGCAAGTAAGTCTTGTCACAAGCACCATTTTAACAAATCTCGCAAATGCGAAGAATCCTGAGACATCCCTCACATCATGCCTTTGAAGCATGATGGTGTGATTTTGCTTTGGGCATTCTTATGGGAGTTTGATACCAAGAGAGGATGGTGAGATTCCTTAAGGCTTTTAGGCTACAGCTAAAGGTGGCTCCAAGTAGGATGCTGCGAGAGCAAGTGCAGAAGCAAGCTAAGTACGCGCATCCCGGGAACCAGGGGAAGCCCACAAGTTGACCTCGTCTAATGCCGAGTAGCGGATGATCCCCAAACTGAACAGTTTAAACGCGATGCCTATGATCCTTATTTGAGGGACCCCCAGAAAGGGTACCCTTAGTTTTGCACCCCGCCCAAAAAATCCTTTTGGTAAAGCCATGGCGCCCGTTCTACCCTGCGGTGTGCAGGTGTGAGCACTTCGTCAAAGTGCATCAGGAATTCGCCAAAATCTACCTTCCACTGCAGAAAATGCACGGGAGGACTGGCAAGAGTTAGGTGCAACGATAAGAAGTAACTAAAACAAGCACAACGCCTTAAACTCCTATCTCACCGTGATTTCTAGTCGAGCGAAAGCCTCTTCTTTAGGCGGGCGCGCGGGTGGCTGCAAGGGTTGCACCGGTTGTGAATTCTGTTCGGGGGTTGCGGAAGCCCGCAGCAGCATCAGAAACATGAAGCCGTGACTATATGCCAGCTGCCATAGCGGAAGGATACCCTCCTTCCCAGGGCAGCCTACCACGTATATGAACTGTCTGAGCCGGCGTCCTCCATATTATGAAACTTATGCTTGTTCGGCATGGCAGCAATGCTTCTTTCTTGAAAACGCCCTCATGACTGAGACCTTTCGCTAAGAGAGTTGCCCCAGTCACAGTCAGCAATAGGTTCTAAATCCAAAAAGCCTTCATTAAGGCCAGGTGGTAATTACCTATAAGGGACCAGGGACTTGATTGCGGTCCTGCCGACACTAAAGCCAAAGCTCTAGACACTGAAGCCTAAACCAATCGTCCCCATTAAGTAGATAGAA